ATCTGCGGGGTGGGGCCATTGCATTCAGGTGTTTGTTTTTTCTGTAGCTCTGTAAATCTCTTGTGCGGTCTAAGATGCGCGTGTGTGAAATTCCTTTGCAAATTGTTCCTTGATTCAACTGTCACATGGTCTCTGAAGAGTTAAACCATAAAATGGAGTGCCACAAGGCTGGAATTTGCGGTAGTGTGCATAAATTACCAGGGACACTTGGGGGCTTCAGCAGAGTTCATGGGGCCTATGACAGCTGCATCCAACATCCCCAGATGGGGGTGCCTGACAGGCCAAACCCAGAGACTGTGCCTTGACACTGCTCAGACCCAGTGGGCATTGAAGCATGCAGGAATCAGATCCAAAGGTTGAGGCCAACACAGCAGTCTGTAACCGGTGCATAGAGAGGGTGTGAGGGCAGAGAGCTGTCCTAGCTGAAAAACTGTATTATTAGCCACTAAAAACAAAGAGAGCACATTTTATGCTGCTCCCTGAACTGTATGTTCCACTGACCACTGTTAATCATTGTTTATACATATTCTTAGTTCTATCAAGCAGCGAAATTAAGAGGAATACTCCCTGTGTTGGGGAAATTGACTGACTGTCAAATAGTTACAGGTATCCCCTCCAGTCAAGCTACAAACTTCTATGATTTCTAGACTAAAACGTCACCAGTCTAGCCCGGGCTCCAGTCTCTGAGTGCAAGAAACCAAACCACCTTTCTCAGAATTCGTTCATTCAATCATGGAACACAAGAGTATATTTATTATCAGATGCAAATTGTTCCTTCTTTTCTTTGACTGAGAGCAAGTGCCACAGTGACAGAGCAGCTGAGAAGAGGAAGCCACAATGCTCATGTGTCCCACAGAGAACCAGGGGGCTCCCGGTAGAAGTCAAGACAATCTGCACAGAAGCTCTGAATCTCCATAGTGACTCTGGGTTTCCAGCATCCCTCCAGATGGTAACATGGCTCTTCCCCTATATACAGAATCAAGCTGTGTGCAAGGACAGCAGCATTTAATGCAATAATACCTAGTATTTACACAGCACATTTTCATCATGCGAACTTTAACTAATTAGTCCCAATGCCAACAAAAAACAAATACACTTGTGCAAAAAGATTTTTATGCTCTCTTGACTAAAGGTCTGATATAATTCCTGTCAAAGTAAATGGGAGTTGGATCAGACCCTGTCAGACAGTGACAATTGTTGAGCAAAACATACAGACCCTTTTGCAGCTATTTCCCAGAATGTCCGAGGGTCACTTTCTCCCTCTCATTCACTAGACTCTGCCTGTGCACCTGTATGTGTCCCTATGAGGCATCATAGATTTTTCAGGGATTAACGTCAGTTCATTATCCCTATGGCCCTCTGTCATAACTATAAAGGGAAGGGTAACCGCTCTCCTGTGTACAGTACTATAAAATCCCTCCTGGCCAGAGACTCCAAAATCCTTTTACCTGTAAAGGGTTAAGAAGCTCAGGTAACCTGGCTGACACCTGATCCAAAGGACCAATAAGGGGACAAGATACTTTCAAATCTTGGTGGGGGGGGGGAAGGCTTTTGTTTGTGCTCTTTGTTTTGGGAAGTTGTTCGCTCTTGGGACTGAGAGGGACCAGACATCAATCCAAGTTCTCCAAATCTTTCTGAACGAGTCTCTCATATTTCAAACTTGTAAGTAAACAGCCAGGCAAGGTGTG